CCACGACCCATGGGCCGTGGGCCAGCCTGACCAAAGCACACACAGCCCTTCGGCCAACCGGACATTAAAGAAACGGGACAAGTGAAGGAATCGAAGCAGGGCCAAGATCTAAATCCAAAACAACCCAACAATCACGGAAATGGACTGGACACTCATTAACTAGAACAAACCTCGGAACGGCCAGACGAATCTAAATACACTCGGCATGGCACTAGAACTCCAACGGGTCGGGTCACGAGTCTGAACTGGCTCGGCCCACACCCACCCCTATATACTTATAAAGAATTTTGAGAATAATTTATAAGGAACTTATAAGAACTTAAAAAATAAGTAGTAAGCCAAACATGCTCTTCATCCCCCTCTTTGCTCTTAGTCTCCCACTCTCTAGTGGCCTCCAACATGAATCTCGATAAGATCAAAACCCTGGAAACTCAAGGCCCATTTCCCCATTCAACAATCATTGTAAGCTAAAAACCCCAAAGCTCAAAAACCCATTTCCCCATTTTACTAACAATCTTCAATAGTTGCAGAAAACACAAACCAAATGCTGATCGAGCTAGCAAATAACAACAATATCACTATAATTGTTGAACTGAAGATCGCCAACTTCGTAGCCCGATAAGAGGTCGAGAATTGACAAAGGGACTACTCGGCCCTTGATGAGAGAGTTGCTGGGCTAAAAAAGATAGTAGACTTTTTTTTAAATAAATGAATCTTAGAGGGCTTTTATGGAAAGATATCATTTAATGATTGTATTCTATAGATGAAATTCGTCAAATACAAAGTTTGTCATCAAAGACGAATTTCGCCATAAACGAAGTTCGCCATGGATGACGAAGTTCACCAGAAACAAAGTTCATCATTGAAGATGAAATTCATCTAGAAATGAAGTTCGTCATTAAAGACGAAGTTCACCCAGAAACGAAGTTCATCATTAAAGATGAAGTTCACCCAGAAACGAAGTTTGTCATTAAAGATGAAGTTCATTAGAAACGAAGTTCGTCATTGAAGACGAAGTTCACCCAGAAACGAAGTTCATCATTGAAGATGAAGATCACCATTGCCATTATTGACGAACCTCGTGCATAGCCGAACCTCGTCTGTCACAATTTTCAGATACTATATTTAAGGAGGGTTAATGACTAATAACTCACTCATTTAAGAAGAGTTAATGACCACTAACTCACCTATTTAAGGAGAGTTAATGAGCACTAACTCCCTCATGTTAAGAGGAGTTAAATCCTATTAACTCACTCCATAATGCTCCTAAGCCTATAAATAGTCATGATCAACAAGAAAGAAGGGGTGGAGATTGAGAGGCTAGTCAAAAAGCTTATCTCTCATCCACTCTCATGGATCTTCATAGATCATCGGCTAATCATTTGGCCTTAGATCGTTGAAGCTCATAACAAGCATGATGAGGGTTATTACAATGACGGATCTTGTCTCAAACAACAAAGCTTGTCATTGGAAATAAGATTTGAAGCCCGTCAATGAAGACGAAGCTCATTAGTGAAGACGAAGTTCATCAGATGAAGTCAGTGAAGACAAAGTTCATCAGAAGAAGCTTGCTATACTACAAAGCTTGTATCATAAGATGAACCTTGTTGTATATTAAGGCTCGTCCAATATGACGAACCTCACCATACGGTGAGGCTCGTCATCCATAGAAGATCCAGCTGTAATGGATTTGAAGACTTAGTTAACCATGTTGACTAAACTTCAGTAGCACGTTACGCCCCATTAACTAACGTGTGCTAAAATAAAGGAGGCAGTTACTCCGTCTACCCACAATTCAAGCACGTTAGTTACATACTACGAATGTTATAAATAGCCATGAGTGGCTATGAAGAGAGGACTTTTGGACTTTTGGAAGATTTTTGGCCATCACGTGAAAAGAGATCAGAGTCTGCATTCTCTTGATCTAGGCCATTGTCAGAAGCTTTTTTGATCTTTATCTAATCATTAACGGGAAGCAATCTTGGCTTCAGCATCGAGAAAAGCATCCGTTCACCACCAAGAACCCACTTCTAAATAAAAAGAATTCGAATTAATATTCTCTTCCTCTGTAATCGAGAGAGTGGGTGATTTTAAGGGATTCGCACTAAGCGATTGAACCCATTCTTAAAACAAGAAATTCAATCATACATTTTTTGACCCTACAGAAGCTCGTCAGACAAAGTCAGTGAAGACAAAGTTTGTCAGAAGAAGCTCTCTATACAGCAAAGCTTGCCTCATAAGAGAAACCTTGCTGTATATTAAGGCTCATCCAATATGATGAACCTCGCTATGCAGCAAGGCTCGTCGTCCATAGAAGATCCAGCTATAATGGATTTGAAGACTTGGTTAGCCATGTGGGCTAAACTTCAGGAGCACGTTATGCCCCATTAACTAACGTGGGCTGAATTGAAGTAGGCAGTTACTCCCTCAACCTACAATTCAAGCATGTCAGTTACATGCTAAGAACTCTATAAATAGCCATGAGCGGCTATGAAGAGAGGACTTTTTAGACCCTGGAAGATTTTTTGGCGATCGCGTGAAGAGAGATTAGTGTCTATAGTCTCGTGATCTAAGCCACCGTTAGAAGCTTTTGTGATCTTGATCTGATCATCAATGGGAAGCAATCTCGGCTTGAGCATCATGAGAAGCATCATTTCATCACCAAGAATCCACTTTTAAATAAAGAGAATTCAAATTAATATTATCTTCCTCTGTAATTGAGAGAGTGAGTGATTGTAAGGGATTCGTACTAAACGATCGAACCCATTCATAAAACAAGAAATTCAATCATACATTTTTTGACCATACAGAAGCTCATCAGATGAAGTCAGTGAAGACAAAGTTCATCAAAAGAAGCTCGCTATAATGCAAAACTTGTCTCATAAGACAAACATTGCTATATATTAAGGCTCGTCCAATATGACGAACCTCGCCATGCCACGAGACTCGTCATTCATAGAAGATCCACTTGTAACGAATCTGAAGACTTAGTTAGCCACGTGGGCTAAACTTCAGGACCATGTTACACCCTATTAACCAACATAGGCTGAATTGAAGGAGATAGTTACTCCCTCTACCCACAATTCTAGCACGTCAGTTATGTGCTATGAACTCTATAAATAGCCATGAGCAGCTATGAAGAGAGGACTTTTTGGACTCTAGAAGATTTTTTGGTGATCGCGTGAAGAGAGATTAGTGTCTGCAGTCTCGTAATCTAAGCCACCATCAGAAGCTTTTGTGATCTTGATCTAATCGTTAACGGGAAGTAATATTGGCTAGAGCATCGAGAAAAGCATCCTTTCGCCACCAAGAACATACTTTTAAAAAAAAAGAGAAGTCTAATTAATCTTTTCTTCCTCTGTAATCGAGAGAGAGTGTGAGTGATTGTAAGGGATTTGTACTAAGTGATCGAACCCATTTCTTAAAACAAGAATCAATCAACTTCAATTTTTCGATCCTACAAATATGATTCCAAAACACTCTTTAGATCATAGTAAGAAATGTCAAGTACGTGCAAGAACTAATCAAACAAGGAAACGTTTTCAATCGGTTGATAGAAACTTTGAGTTGTTTGATTTAGTTCATATTGACATTTGAGAATTTAATGGTATTTTGACCAAAGATATGAAGAAATATTTTATCACCTTTATAGATGACTATAACAAATATTGTTATGTTTACTTGCTTAAAACTAAAGATGAGGCTCAAGAAAAATTTATCATTTTTAAGAATGAAGCTGAAACCCAAACAGACAAGAAATTTAAAAGGTTAAGATCTAATAGAGATGGATAATGTACATCAAATGAGTTTATTCTTCTATATCTATCTTTTGGCATAGTGCATGAGAAAATTGCTCCTTATTATCCTCAGTCTAACGGTGTCGCTGAACAAAAAAATAGAACCTTAAAATATATTATTAATAGTCTACTTGAAAGTTTAGGGCTTCCTAAATAATTGTGGGGGGAGGCTTTGAATAAGTCTTGCCATATTCTGAATAGATTCCCTCAGAAACATGAAGAAAGTAGTCCATTTTAACTTTGGAGAGGTCGAAAGATAAGCTTGAAATACCTTAAAGTGTGGGGGTGTCAAGCAAAAGTGCTAATCCCAGAACACAAGAGGAAGAAGCTAGGTCCTAAGACGATAGACTCTATCTTTTTGGGTTATGTAGAAAACACCTATGCTTTGAGATTCTTAGTGATCAAAACTAAAATCCTAAGTGTAGATGTTAATATAATTGTTAAATTTTGTGAAGCAACATTTTTTAAGAATGTTTTCCCTATAAAAACAGGAATACCTTAAAATATTTCTAATAAAAATCTAGTATCTGTCTCAACTTTAATTCCTAATCATGTGGAAAAGATGACAAATGTCGTGGCATATAGTTCTAAATCTAAAAATGAAAGATCAGATGATTTAGACGAACCTAGAAAGAGTAAGAGAGCTAGGATTGTCAAAGATTTTGGTAGTGACTTTGTCACTTACAATATTGAGGAAGATCGTATTTCCTACAAATTCGCTATGGCCTCGAAAGAGGCTAAACAGTGGAAGGAAGCCGTCAAAAGTGAAATGGATTCTATTGTCTCTAATAGGACATGAGAATTAGTTGATCTTCCTCCTGGGTGCAAGACAGTTGGGAATAAATGGATTTTTAAAAGAAAAATGAAACCAGATGGAAACGTAGAAAAATTTAGGGCCATACTTGTTTCCAAGGGATTCAAACAAGTTGAAGGAATTGATTTTATTGACACATACTCTCTAGTTGCCTGAACGACTACAATCGGAATGCTTATAGCATTGGCTTCTATATATGATTTTACAATCCACCAGTGGATGTAAAAACTGATTTTCTTCATGGTTTTCTTGAAGAAGAGATTTATATAGATTAGCCTAAGGGATTTGTAGCACCTGCAAATAAAAGGAAAGTATGTAAACTTGTGAAGTCTCTATACGGACTTAAACAAGCCTCTAAACAATGACATAAAAGGTTAGATATAACTAACATGGATTTTGGTTTCAAAATGATTGAGTTTGATAAGTGCATTTATAGCAAAGTAAGAGGTGATTCTTGTATTCTTCTGTGCATTTATGTTGATGATATTCTATTGTTTGGATCTAACATTGGGATAATCAATGAGACTAAGTCAATCTTGAGTAGTAAGTTTGAAATAAAGGATATGGGAGTTGCTGATGTTATTCTTGGCCTAAAACTGATAAGATTAGTTAAGGATATAGCTATTTCTCAATCTCACTATGTTGAGAAGGTTATTGAGAAATTTGGCTATAAGAATTGCAAACCCGTCAAAACTCCATATAATCCTTCAGTAACTCTCCATAAGAATGTAAGTAGAGTCTATGTATCTCAATTGAGATATTCTTAGATCATTGGAAGCTTGATGCATCTTACAAATTATTCAAGACCGGATATATCTTACTCAGTTTCTAAACTAAGTAGATACACTAGCTATCCAAATAGGACTCATTGGGAGGCATTGGATAGGATACTTTGGTATGTGAAGGGAACTGTTTCTCTTGCACTACATTACGGTAGATTCCCTCCCAATATAGAGGGATACAATGACGCTAGCGGGATTGCTATGTTGGTCTCATATTTATGAGCCTACTCCTAATCTTTTTTGATGATTACAAACAATTCCTAATGTTTTTTTTGTCTAGTATTTGTTTTTTCTTATTAGGTATTCTAGACAAACAACGAGTTGGAGGTTGGATGGACTAGAGCTTTCACGATCATATCCATTGGAGGATGGAAGAAAATATCAGTATGAAGAAATACATCTCAAGTCAATTCAAGATAAAGCTTCATCTGTAAAGTTTACCAAGATGAGCTTAATTGAAGATCAAGATAACTTGAGTAAATTAGTTTAGGGTTTATACTTGTGTGTTAATAATTTAAGCTCAATATCACACATATACACAATTCTTGATTTTGAGTAATTTTGATAAAATATTGATTTATTAGTTTTTAGACTTAACAATAATTATATACATTTTTTAAGTCTATAAAATTATTTTATAAAGCTTCAAAATATTGTTTAACTCAAAGGTCGAAAACTAAGAAGTTTATATACACATGTATTTACAAATTTTACAAAATAGTAAATTTTCTCAAATACGAACTGATATATCAAAAATTCCTTCTTTAACATGTTTTTTCATGTTTATAAATGTTTTCTAAAGTTTTATTAATTTTGGAATTAAGTTGTTATGTTAAATTGAATTTACAAAATTAAGTTTTAAGCAAATTCATGTTCGTGCATATGTTCGTGCATGGTTTTGCAAAACAGATGAGTTTTCACCAATAAGAAATGAAATTTGAAAAATTCTTTTTCTAACATGTTCTATTACATGTTTATAACCATTTTACAAAATTGTATCATTTTTAGAGTTGATTTACCGTGCTAAATTGATTTTACAAAATCGGGTGTTTTAGTAGTTTTTAGAATCTAGAATATCCGTGTTCAAATAATTATTTATCTCAATTGGGATGTTATATTTAAAAACTTCATTCTCTAACATGTTAATATACATGTCTAGAAGAATCTATCAAAATTTCATAATATTTAGAGTTGATTTACTATTTTTAATTGATTTTATAATGCCAGATACGCATATTTCCAGAATCTGCCAATTCTGTTCCAACGGCTATATCATCAGTCGACCGAAACTACTGTTAAGTCGACTGATCAACATTTTTCTAGATAACTACTAGTTTTTTCTTGTTATTGTTTTTTGGGTATTTTGCCACATTTTTTGGGCTATTTTTTGGCCTTGGTGTATTTTGCCACACTAAGACTTATTCAAGAAGTGTTTTTAAACAAGTTTAAGAGAGTTTTAAGTATGTTTAAGTTTATTTAAAGTTGTTTTTAGCCTTGTTTCAAGTTTGGTTTTTGTGATGTGATTTTCACAAGAGGAGAGGAGATCATCTTTATTGTTTGGGCTTTCATCTCATCTCTCTCTTGTTATCATTGGAGAAGTTTTCTAAACTCAATCTCTAGCTTTACATTTATATACATGTTAGATTATCATTTCTATTAAGCTAGATTTCATATTGAGTTTAGTTTGATTTTATTTATACTCTTTGTTCACACACAACCTATTGAGCTTTTAGTACTTTCATACATAGTATATTTGAGGTTGTGAGATTGTGACATTGAGAGTGAGCTTACATAGAGTTCTCATCTATTATAGGGAACAAATCTTGTTATTGTGCTTTAATTATGAGATACACTTTGTAATATACTTGTACACCGAGAGGAGTGTGCGGTAAGAGATATGGTCCGTTCCAAGAGGAGTGGCGTTGGTAGTAAAGGCTAGAGAGAGGTCGTAAATCCGAGCACTTGAGGAAGGACATGGGCTAGAGACCAACACTTAGAGGGTGTAGAGTGTGATTACAAGAGTGTGAGATTGTAGATTTTTCGGTGAGCTAGAAAACCGAACTTGTGAGGTGTAAACGTTTATCAGGTGAGCGTCAAAAATCTGATTGTGTAGTAGATTCTACCAGGGAGTGGGGAGCGGAGACGTAGGTCCGAAGGACCGAACTTCATGATCATTTTATTTGTTTGCGTTTGCCTTAGTATTTTTATATTGTGCTTATTATATTGTTATATCGCCATTTGTTCATATTTATTTTGCCCTTGTTTAATTCCATATACTTACTCATATCTCATTGAATATCATACTTACAAGAGTTTATAATTGTGACGCCCCAGGGTTCACACAAGGCTGCAGTCAAAGATAAAACCCGGATTGTCAAACCTGCCAAGCACCAACTCCATGCTACGACATGTTTCACCATCACAATCACTATCTCTCAAGTGAAAACAATAAATAGATGAAGTTACAGACATGTAAATAATCAAAATTGAACAACACTGAAAATATACACAGAAGAAGCATAATAAATATTAATAATGAGCCCTACTAGAATAAAGTAGATATTTCACTGAGTCTGAACTGAATCTCAAATACAATGAGTCAAATAAACCAAGTCTCACAATAGCTCTCAACTCTATAAAATAAAATACCAATCTAGAGTCTGAAAATAATCAACTACATGTGGAGTTCTGCAATAACTACAAAATATAATAAATAGCTAAACAGACAACTAAGTTGTCCCATCAACCTGTGACTCTCCGTGCGTCGGACTGGCTGCCTGAAAGAGGGGAAACAACGAGCGTCAAAGCGCTAGCGAGATCATCACTACCTCTCCCCAGGGGAAGGGGTAGGAGTATATAGAAAATAGAGTTAGTACATACATATATCAAATCATTCATATAACTCTCTATGAATGAAAAACAAATTACCAATGATAAAAAACCTCAATCTCCAACATAAAGAATAATCATCTCATCTCAAACTACGTCCGAATGATCTGCTCTAACATAAGAGGATATCAACAATTGCTAAAACAAAAATATCTGCCATTCATAACGGGTGTATCAAAATCTCAAAGGAAATACCCTACTCATGGGCAATCTATCATGAAAGTAAAGCTTGTAACTGATCAATTATCTATGTATGCATCAACTTGTGGTATAGCGATACTCTCGTAATGCTCTTACTCAATCGCTTTGCGGCAATAGGTTTTATTATCTCCCTATTTTTGATACGTGTAATAACGATAGTTTTGTAATACTCTTACTCAATCGTTCTGCGACAATTAGGTTTCATCTCCCTATTTTCGGTTACGTATAGAACAACATTATTCATAAGTGTTTATCAAATTAACTCATGTCGAAAGTGTGTCAATCTAACATAATCTAGCATACATGCACAAAATCTCGGTGTGCGTGACCACATTTGAAGTTCACCATCATCCCAGGTGTTTAACAATCACTAATATCATAGTCTATAATCAAAAGGTCGAAAAATCTGCTCAACAAACCAAAACCAAACCAATAAATATGCTAAACAGACAGCTAAGATGTCCCATCAACCTACGACTCTCCGTACGCCGGACTCGCTGCCTGAAAAGAGGGGGGAAACAACGAGCGTCAAAGCGCTAGCGAGATCATCACTACCTCTCCCCAGGGGAAGGGGTAGGAGTATATAAGAAAATAGAGTCAGTACATACATATATCAAATCATTCATATAGCTCTTTATGAATAAAAAACAAATAGTCAAGGAAACATACTCCCATCTCCAACATAAAGAATAAATTTCTCATCTCGAAGTACATCCGAGTAGCCTGCTCTAATATAAGAGGATGCCAACCAAAACAAAACAAAATATAATTGCCATCCATAACGAGTGTGCCAAAATTTCAAAATATATACCTTACTCACGGGTAATCTATCACGAAAGTAAAACTTATTTCTGATCAAAAATCTATGTGTGCATCATCTTGTGCTATAGCTATACTTTTGTAATGCTCTTACTCAATCGCTCTGTGGTAATAGGTTTTATTATCTCTCTATTCTGGATACCTGTAATAACAATACTTTTGTAATACTCTTACTCAATCGTTCTGCGACAAATAGGTTTCATCTCCCTATTTCCGGATACGTATAGAACAACATTATTCATATGTGCTTATCAACTTAACTCGTGTCGAAAGTGTGTCAATCTAACACAATCTAGCATAAACGCACAAATCTCGGTATACGTGTCCACATCTGAAGTTCACCATCATCCCAGGTGTTTAACAATCACTAATATCATAGTCTATCATCATAAGGTCGAGAAATCCATTCGACAACAAAAAAAAACTCAAATAAACATGCATATCCGAAACAGACTGGCGGGCGGCCGCGGGGGCCTGGCGGTCGACCGTGAACCCTGATTTCCAGATTCTCAATTTCTTTGTGTATATCGTGTTCACATAGTGTTTTTATGATCTAAACATGTCAAATTCTTCATGAAACTTTTATGCAAATATGCCACAGCAGATATGAACATCTGGAAACAACTCAACAATTATAAACATGATTTTATGCATTAGATTTGTATTCAAAACCCTAAAACATGCATAAAAGCTCAAAACAACAAATTAAACTTCTTTCTTTAGATTAACCACGTTTAAAAATCATCATTAGATCTTAATCACATCTGTAAAAATGTTCTCAACCTTTTTAGCATGGAAATACCTAATCTTTATACATATAATACAAAAGAATTTGTCCTTTATACATAATCTATTCGTTTAGGCTCTACAAAACATGTTTAAATCACTTTAAAAACTTTTTAAAAACTGGGAGGGGGATTAGTAGAGATGATACTCGCCTGGGGTTGTAGGAAAAACATTTTGATGCAATGTCGAAAGAGATCTCCACTCCAAAAGCAGAAAATAAACAAAAAAACCCAACTAGAAAGCCTCCAATCTTCTCCAAGAAATCAAACTAGGGTTTGGGGGGTTTGGTGGCTTTTAGGGTTCTTAGGAAGACTGAGAAAAACGTGAAAAATTCATATATATATATATATATGCAGGTTTCACGGTCGACCGTGGCGGTCGACCGGACTGCGGTCGACCGTGGCGGTTGACCGGACTGGAATTTTCCAGTTCCGCATATGTTCGGCCATTGTGCATGTTTCGACTCTTTTCTCTCACATGTATGAACTCGTTCATACTCAAAACACATGGTATTATACTCATATACCATTTAATGATATTTATCATACTAAATATCCACATATCATAATTTATCACAAATTAATTATATTATTTATAAATTATCGGGGTTTTACACCAGCGAAGGTTGAAGCTGTCATGAACTGGTCGCGTCCCACCTCAGTGATCAAGATTCGTAGCTTTTTGGGACTAGCAGGATATTATAGAAGATTAGTCAAGGAATTTTCCCAATTAGCAGCCCCTTTAACTTATTTGATTCGTAAGAATGTCAAACATATATGGAGTGAGAAATGCGAAGAACATTTTCAGGAGTTAAAGAAAACGGTTGGTAACCGCTCCTATCCTCACTATCCCTACGAGCTCAGATAAGTTTTGATATATAGTGATGCATCTTCCAGAGGTTTAGGTTGTGTTCTGATGCAGAATGACAAGGTGGTGGCTTATGCCTCTAGGCAATTGAGGTCTCATGAGAAGAACTACCCCACTCAGAAGGAGATTAACATGAGACAAAGAAGATGGTTGGAATTACTGAAAGACTATGATGTAAATATCCTTTACCATCCAGGTAAAGCTAATGTAGTAGCAGATGCACTCAGTCGGAAGAATCATATTACATCAGCTTGTTTGCTAACTAAGCAAGCTGAGTTAAGTAAGGAGCTTGAGAGAATGGAGATTGAAGTTAGAAAGTATTCTTCTGAAATGAAGATTTGTCAGATAAGCCTACAACCTACTCTGTTGGACCAAATCAACGAGTGACAAAAGGAAGACAAGGAGCTAAGTGAGATAAGGAAGAAGGTTGAACAAGGAAAATATTCAGACTATAAGATTCAAGATGGTGTTTTGAAGATGGGTAATCGCCTTAGCGTATCCAATGATGAGGAGCTTAAGGATCAGATATTGAGAGAAGCTCACCAGACCCTATATGCTCTTCATCCAGGTAGCACTAAGATGTATTAAAACCTTCGACAAAACTTCTGATGGAACCACATGAAGAAGGAGATAGTTGAATTTGTGTCAAAGTGTTTAACATGCTAACAGGTAAAGATTGAACATCAAAAACCCTCGGGACTATTACAACCTTTACCCATCCCAGAATGGAAATGGGATCACATCACCATGGATTTTGTTACTGGACTACCCCGCTCAACAAAAGGAGAGGATGCCATATGGGTGGTAGTTGACCGCCTGACCAAATCAGCATATTTCATACCCTACAAGATGTCGAATACCATGGAAAAGTTGACCACCTTATACATTGATGAGATCGTGAAGCTCCATGGGATTCCCATATCCATTGTATCTGATTGAGACCCTCGTTTCACCTCTAGATTTTGGAAGTGTCTACATCAATCTCTAGGGACTAGACTGAAGTTCAGCACCTCAGCACATCCTTAGACTGATGGACAATCCGAGAGAACAATACAAACCCTAGAGGACATGCTGAGAGCTTGCACCTTAGATTTTGGAGGCAATTGGGCTACGCACTTGCTGCTAGTAGAGTTCGCCTACAACAATAGCTTTCATTCTAGCATTAGCATAGCACCTTATGAAGCCCTATATGGGAGGCGATGCAGATCCCCTATCTGTTGAGAAGAGACCGGTGATTGTCGATTACTCGGACCAGACGTAATCCAAGAGAAGACTGAGAAGATCCAAACCATTCAGCAACATATGCAGACAGCACAAAGTAGGCAAAAGAGCTATGCAGATTGACGATGCAAGGACCTAGAATTCCAGGTTGGTGATCATGTGTTTCTGAAGGCTACACCCATGAAAGGAATATCAAGAGGTAGTAAGAAAAGCAAACTCCGTCCGAGCTACCTCGGGCCATTCGAAATTTTGGGGAAGATCAGACCGTGGCCTACCGGCTAGCCCTGCCCCCAGAATTGGAGAAGATTCATAATATGTTCCATGTCTCAAACCTGAAGAAGTACGTACCAGACCCAGGACACATCATTTATCACCAAGCTTTTCCCCTGCGGGAGGATCTATCTTATGAAGAATGTCCGTTCAAGTGCTACGCTATAAGGAGAAGCAACTAAGAAACAAGTCCATATCACTAGTTAAAGTGTTATGGAACAATCGAGACATTGAGGAGGCAACATAGAAACTAGAATCTGAGATGCGAAAGTATATCAACATTTATTTTGAGGGTACACAAAAATTTCAGGGACGAAATTCCCTTAAGGGGCGAAGTAATGTAACATTCTATTTTTTTCTTTCTGTTGATCGGATACAATTATCGATACCGATCTATGAGTTAGTAAATTCTTTCCTTCATGGTTTCACAGATAATCTTCCAGCATGAGAATTTTAAACTTTGCTAATTTCCATATTATGATTTAGTTAACGAAGTTATAGCATGCATACAAACTTAGCATGTAAACCTAATAGTTAACGAAGTTATAGCATGCATACAAACTTAGCATGTAAACCTAAACCAACCATGCTTTAAACTTTAGTTAGAGATAACCCAATCAAACTTAGCATGTAAACCTAAACCAACCATGCTTTAAACTTTAGTTAGAGATAACCCAATTATTAAATAGCTAATTTGAAACACTCTAATTAACATAGCTGTTTAAATAGTTCAGCGATGATAGTGGGTGAAATTTTGCACAAAAACCCTCAACTTTGGTCAAATTGAAGATTTCTCTTCACATGGGCTTATATATATGTGCCCTCTACCTCTCATTTTGCCATTTAAGAAGAAAAATCTCTTCAAAACCTCCTCCCTCTCCTCTAAAAATTCCCAGCACCTCTCCTCTTATAAAAAAAAGAAAAAAAATATTCCAAAACCCTTCAAGAACATTAAAGAAGAAAGAGTGGAGAAAGAATGTAGTTGAGGACTTTGGAGGAGGAAGTGGAGCAAGTCCCAACCTAGGTAAAATTCTCTAATGCATGTTATCATTAAGGATGTTAAAACTAAAATTATATGATTTAATTTAAATTTAGTCTTGCAAATAACATTTTAGGGCTTGCATGTCAATGTCATATTGAAACAGAAATTTCGTGCATAAATTTCTAGCAGGATACTCTATCAGTAAAAAGATCATAACATTCTTTGTAAATATATTGAAATGAAGAAATTCTTTCTATTCTAGAAAGTACACATCTGTGGCTTTCATTTGAGACCCTATTTGTTTAATTCTAAAATCATTTACTAGGTTAAAAGTATGGTTTAACTCAGTGCATATGTCTGAAACTATCTACCTGAGTTATGTCCTTTGTAAAGAGCATATATCTCAACATATTCCATGCACGCATGAAATTATTTCTATTCTAGAAACTACACATTTGTAGCGTTCATTTAAGACCCTGTTTGTTTAATTTTAAAATCATTTACTAGTTTGAAAGTATGGTTTAACTCAGTGCATGTGTCTGGAACTATCTTCCCGAGTTATGTCCTTTGTAAAGAGCATATATCTCAACATATACCATGCATGCATGAAATTCTTTCTGTTCAAAAAACTAAACATTCATGGCTTTCATTTGAGACCCTGTTTGCTTAATTCTAAAATCATTTACTAGTTTGAAAGTATGGTTTAACTCAGTGCATGTGTCTAAAATTATCTGCTTGAGTTATGTCCTTTGTAAAGAGCATATATCTCAACATATACCATGTATGCATGCATGAAATTCTTCTATTCCTGAAACTAGACTCAATTGTCTTTCTGTTGATGTAAGTTTGAATTAATTTGAATAACATTTGGTAAGTCTAAACCTAGTTCTAATAGCTAGTATATGTACTGGCAATTTCAATCTACCCCCTGTGTTGTTTTGCATGTAACATGCATTATAAAAATGAAAATTTGATAAAACTAATGGGACTTGGAATCTAATCCATCATATCACTTATATACCAATGTTGAGATCATATACATAGTGGTAAGTACCCGAAATAAATCATTCATTCAAGATAGTAATCTCTATTTTTCTGCTACAGTTTTGATAGGTGGAGTTTGCTAAGAGCATAAAACTTACTATACACTATGCATTAATGTAATATTTTTATATTATAAAATTAGACTCATAATAGAGTCATTTGGAACTAGTTTCATGCATTTTGGATATCAATTGTTATACCATCCATCACCTAAATCTGCTGCATATACACTACTGGTGCTGCTGTACATGCTAGAGATATTGAATGTAATCATCTAGAGTGTGGCTTATACTATAATATAAGTTTTAAGTTAGAAAATTATAAAAGACATAGTGTTTAGAATCTCATGTGGGTATACATGTATATAGGACAGAGAATCTTGGATTCATTCGTTGGCCGGGAGGATTCCGACATAATCGGTAGGTAACTTTTCATTGTTTCCTCTCAAGTCTTTGAGAGTTCGATTGATTACTTTCTTAAAATTTCTGCGAGTTAGTTTCCCATGCTAATTTGTATATCTTATCACTTCAGTAATATTCCTATTTGATTCACTTCATGCATTAGCTCTTTGTGATTGCTTAGCCATTGTTATCCTAATGTTGTTTATATCAGTTTTATATCTTTGATATCCTTTTGTGATTGCTTAGCCATTGTTATCCTAATGTTGTTTATATCAGTTTTATATCTTTGATATCCTCGAAAGATTATACCTAATGTTGTTTATATCAGTTTTATATCTTTGATATCCTCGAAAGATTATATTGCAACATTTCGACTTGATTCGATGATTCGACTATTGGTAATGATAATATTTCATTCTTTATTGATAATTGATAGTCTATATTAATGGATTATGCCATGTGTGAAGTAAGCTTCACCGGTGGGTGGCAATAGTAATGTGTCTCGCTGGTGACAATGCCCTGTGTGAGGATGCTCACCGCTGAGTGTATAAAGGCATGCACAGTTTATTAATTATCCTATGATTCGGGAGTTTGAAATCCTGAATATTAGACCTTGATTATTCATCTTTACATGTTATTTCATTTCGGTCAATAATTTCGATATAAGAATGGCAACTTAATGTTCAAATCCCTTTGTTCAAGTTTGATATCTACGTCTATCATTTTCATTCGTTCCCTTGTGTTGTACCCGAGATTTTTATGGTTACTTATTGGGCCTTAGGCTCATCCCTATTGTTTCTGAATCCACTCGTAGGTCATACTACTGGCAAGGATAAGGAGATTGCAGACCCTGAAGTTGAAGATTAGCTGTGGAGCAAACTCTCAGTCGGATTTAATTTATGTTCACTCTTGTAGTATTTTTGACTTATAAAACATGTACTAATGTTGTAGCCATTGCTATTATTATAATATTTTGTAGTTCCCTTTAGTGTTCTCCTATTTTGGTATTCTATGGACTCTACTATCAACCTCGTGATCCTGAGTATTGCATATACATCTCCACTGCTTTTTTTTCGCCCTTTAGTATATCTATATTATGATGTGCATAAAGATTTAGCAGGTCAACCATTCTTATTACAAATAGGTCATGCCCAAATTTTTATGTACCTCCCTGAGGGGCGTTACATGTTACAATTATCGTAGTACACTAGCAGGAGGCTCGCATGACAGAGGTTAAAATCAGCCGTCTCAGGGCCACAATTACGGTAAGTAGCAGAGGATTTGAAGCACATCCAGCCATCTCGAGAATTGAGGGGCTAGTAGGCCAGATTCATGCCATCCAAGAGATTCCAAAGGGACAGATAGTCTCATATGTTCCACCACCATCAGCGTAGCAATCACCAGCCATCGGCAAGGTTTATGCAATCGTACCGCGCGATCTTGGTGCGAGCAGAGCTTTCTTAGTGATT